GCATAAAAATTTTGATAATATCCCGTTTTTAATCTCTGCTGAATCTCTAGTTATACCTCCCTTTTCCTTTTTCTAATATCATTTTTCCCCTGGCTTACACTTACCAGAATGTGCCGATTTTATTAGTCTTTTCAAAGAATCAACTTCTGATTTTGGTGATTCTATTATATCACTTTTCTGTTTTATTAATTTCTGCTCTTATCTTTATTATCTTATTCCTTCTGCTTTAGCTTAAGTTAGACACAGCTTTTTAATCTCAGCTATTCTTCCTTTCTTAATGAGGATTTAAAAGTATATATTTCCTTCTAATTACCACTTTAGCCGCATCCAAGTTTTGATGTGTAGTTTTCAAATTATAATTCAGTTCTCTATAGTTCTTATTTCCATTTTGATTCCTTTGATCCATAAAACACTTAAAAATGTGCTGTTCTGTTCCCAAATAAATTGATCTTTTAAAAGTTATTAGCTTATAAATAACTCCATTTTAATTAGAGAATATAATCTAATCATATCAGTTCTCAGAAATATGTTGAGATCTGATGTGTGGTCATTTTTTATAAATGTGTCATTTGTGGTTAGGTCATTTGCATAGCCTCTAGAGGTTGGATGAAGGGTTTCACACATTTTGATCAAAACCAGCTTGTTATTTCTACCCTTCACTGAATCTTTATCCTTTCTGTCTGTTTGATCCATCAATCACTAAGAGGTATGTTGAAATCTCCCACTGTAATGGTAGATTGATCAATTTCTTATAATTCTGTCCATTTTTATTTATTATTTTATATATATGTTCAAGGTTAATTTTTTTAAGTGTGTACAGATTTAGAACTATTATATCCTCCTAGTGAATTGAACCTTGTAACATCATATAATAACTTTCTTTATGCCTGGACAATAGTTTGTGGCTTAAACTCTATTTTATGTGATATTAACATAACTACCCTAGCTTTTTTTTAAATTTAGCATTTGCTTGGTATATCTCTTTCTAACTTAAAAAAAAATCTTTGGCCCTTCTGTGACATATGTTTCGTATATGTGAACTATTATTATAAGCAGCATATTAAGTGGATTTTTTAAAAATCTAGTCTAATAATCTCTTTTATTTATATGGATATTCTGTCCTGTTACATTTATTGTGATTACTGATACATATGAATTTATTTCTGTCATCTAATATTGTATTTTCTATTTAACGCTCATCTCTTTTACATTATTTTTAAAACTCTTACTACCTTTTTTTGGATTGATTATTTTTAAATACCTTTTTTCCTTCTATTTGTTTGGAAGTTATATATCTATTTCTGTTCTTTTAACCAATAGGTGGTTATTACCCTTGAAATTGTATCATATGTAACAAAAGAGTTGGAAGTTCAACACTCTTTTCATTTTTCTCTGGCATACAAGGATATTAAGTTGCTGTAACTCCAATTTCCCCTGTAGGTCATTGTCATTGAATATTTTAGATCTATCGTATTATTTTTTCTCCACAAATTAATCCCTCAACTGATTTGTTTTATACAGTTGGTATTTCTTTAGAGTTATCTTCTGTACTCTTTACATATTAGACCTTTCTTCTGAGATCATTTTCTTTCTTCATGAAGTAGAGAGTTTTAAAATTACAGTATTTTCTCTCGATTCTTAAAAACAAAATTCATTCTACTAACTCCTGGCTCCCAGTGATGTTGCTTTCAAGCTCATGTCTTGTCTTTGTCCTCTGTAATCACATCTGCTGCATCAGAGCTCCGTGGGTAGACCCAGAAAACCATGCGTTTAGCTCTCCAGGTAAGTCTGATTGCTAAAGTTTGAGACCCATTGTTCTAGTCTATCTTCAAGTTCGTCTAATCTGTTGTTTAATCTATACACTGGTTGTTTTAAATTTTTTCAGATTTTTCAATGATTATATTTTTCATTTCATGGAATTCTATTTGTCTATCGTTGCAAGTCTGGCTTATCAATTTTGGTAATATCTTGCTCCTTGCAGATTTTTAATACCCATGTTTACTCCTTTAGCTGTTTTATACATTACATTTTGTTCATTTTAATACCACTATTTACGTTCTTTAACTGTTTTACATACAATCATGTTACATTCTGTAGTAATTCTGATATCTGAAGTCTAAATCTGTCTTAGCTTATTTTTGCCAACTCATGTTCATGGTGACTTGCCTCTTCATGTGTTCAGTGATTTTTATTTCATTAAGAGCTTACATGTGGCTGAACTTAATATGGGGGGATCCCAGGGGCCTGCACTGAGCATGGTTTTCTACACAGGTGATTTATGTTTGCTTCTTCCACCTGCCAAGGATGCTACAGCCTGGAGCTGCATTAGTTCATCCACCTTGGGGTTCCATGCTAAGAGACTAAAATGCATTTGGACCTGCCATAGACCCCTTGGGCCTGGTTCCCAGCAGGGGAAGGAGGGGTTCCTATCCTCTCCTAGAGACAGAAGACCCCCCCCCAAGCCTCCAGCAGCTTAAGGCTTTTATGTCCTGTGAGAGAGGAGTCTAGAGAAGGATGTGGTGTTTGGTACCCTCCACTCATTGGTACGTACACACACACACACACACACACACACACACACACACTCACTCACTCACCACGTTCTTGCCATTGGATCCAGAGCTCTAGCACAGGCTGCAGAGCAGAGCCTGAGAGCAGGCCTGTACACCCTGTGCCTGGGTCCCCAGGTATTCTGACTGCCTCAGTGAGAACTGGCCCGTCTGGCTCTGCTCAGACTTGTGGCTCCCTGCCTGCGATCCCAGCGCTCGAGGGCTTGAGAGAAGTGCTGGTTCTGTGGGTTGTTTCGCCTGCTCTTGTTGAGGGCGGGGGCGTTCCCCTGCAGCTCCCACGATGTGAGCAGAGGCAGACCCAAGGGAGTACGTTTCTCTGTGTTCAGGCAATGGTTTAAGGAGATGGGGGATGTTTCAGCAAGTGTGTATCCAGCAATTCTTCAGAATCCAGCTCCTGTGGTGCCCTTCCCAGTTGCTGGTGTCTGTCCTGCCCCAGTGCCTGCCCGCCGCCAGCCCACGCCTCCTCTTGCAACACGGAGGTGTTTTCAGTGTCTGCAGAGCCAAGGGTGGGCCCAGGGTCTGTCTCCTCCCGGTGCTGTTCACTCCACCCTACGACTTTGAGGCCCCTTTAGTTAAAATAGGATTTCCATGGTCCTTTCTTGACCTCGTTGGCATCACACAACTTAATTAGGATGTTCTTCAGTCCCTGCTACCCTGCCAGCAGAGGAGGCCCTTTGGTTGTCCACAGGAGCTTGAGGAACCTCTCCTTCCATGCTCCGTGTCTACCGCAGCCTTAAGCATTCATGCTCATCTTGGTATCTTCCCTCAACAGCACAGTTGTCCTCCCGGGTCCCGTCCAAAGAGGGCGGCATGAGCCTGCCAGGCGGCCTGTCCTCCTCCCCTCCATGAGAGCCCCTCAGGGTGACTGTGAGCAGAACAGGGTAAATGCCTTACAGTGTCTTTTCCCAGGGTCTGCTCAGTCTTGTCAGCCACCAAGCAAATGTTTACTGATGCTGTGTGCTGGCCCCTTTGCCAGATGTGTAACATGTAGAGATGAATTTCAGAGGAGGTGGGGTGTCTGGCCAGTGGTTTTGGAGAGCTGTGCTGGAGGACACAGAGGTGGCAGAGCCAACTCCTGTTTGTGCCGGTTACTGCATTTGGTCGTCGTGAGGTCTGAGATGCAGTGGCCACTTCCTCAAGGCCTGTCACTTCCACTCCACCAAATGGTTTTTCCTCATGGGTCTAAATTAAATGGACCTGAATCAACATGAGTAATAAAATGACAGACTGTACACGCACTGCACCAAAGCCAGTCTCCTGGGTTTGCTATTGTTGCATAAGATGTAACCTTGGGGGAAGGTGGAGGAAGAGTCCAGGGGACCTGTCTGTATTATCATTGCAACTTCCTGAAAATTTATAATTATCTCTAAATAAAAAGCAAAAGAATACATAAGTAAATAAATGAACAAATTGAGAATATTGTCCCAAACTAAACCTTTTTTGCCTTTTCAGAGCCTGGAACATTCTCCCTCTCTTCCACAACCCTCACTACTTCATTTCAGGGGATTCAAATAGAGCCCGAGATGATGACTTTTCATTTGCTTTTGGAAAACCCCAGTGGAGTCCCAGAAGCAAACTCGGTCTCTGGCAGAGCCCAGGCTTTGTGGGGAAGGCACAGGCGGGGAAGGGAGGCAAGGGTTTGCGCCTTCCCCGCCCATGGGGGCAGCCTCTTCAGTCAGTGCTGCTGCAGGCTGGGCCCCAGGGGCTTCAGGGGCTGTACATAAAATCCAATTGGAAGTAAGCTCCCATTCTTCTTGGCTCCCTAACAGACCCCCAGTCATCAGAAGTGGCTCATTTAGGATGCATTGATTCATTTTGTTCTGTCTGTGCTGTGTGTGATTTTGATACAGTCTGTGCCATCAGACCGCAACAATACAAAGCCATAAACTTCTCTCCAGTTTTCCAAATGCCTCCTTTTTCATCTTGCGGGAAGACATTTTTTGCCCTTAGGGTGGCATAAATTGTGGATGCAAATACGGGGGCTGAGGGCTATATCACCGGGTGAGCTGTTCGCAGAACTTAGGTGTGCCGGGAAGGATGGGGAATGAATGTGGCCTCCGTGGGACCAAGGTGGGCCAGGGCTCTGATTTCATTTTCTCCCAAATGTTCATATACACCGCAACTCAGGCACTGTGACTAATCACAAGATTTAATGGCCTTAAAGTGCTCACTGAAGGTCCAATTCAATTAAAAAATGTCCTGTGGAAGCCATGAATAATCCTCTTGTCTTTGCTTTTCTGGTCTTCCGGAGGCTTCCACCAAGCGGAGGCCAAACGGGCTTTTTTCTTTTTTAATTTCTTTCTTGATGCAGCCGGGACCCTGCCAGGCCCGTGAGCACCCTCCGGCCCCTCCTGTGCCACTTCTCGGCAGCGCGGGTGGGGTTTGCCCGGGTGTGCGCCATGCTGGGAAATGACTCTGCTTCCCTACCAGTTCGACAGGCTCTGGAACGAGATGCCGGTCAACGCCAAGGGCAGGCTGCGCTACCTGGACTTCCTGAGCAGGTTCAGCTCCGAGAGAGCGGCAACACCACCAGTCGCTAGCGACTCACTCGAGGCCCAGAGAGGGAGCAGCGTTCCCGAAGTCTCGGAAGGAGCCAGATCTGCCGTCTCGTCACCCACTCAGGACCTGAGAGCAGGGCTCCGGTCTCAGAGTCACCCCTGTGTGAGTTCTGCATCCCGCCAGGCTCCTGCGCAGCCTCACGCCAGAACCACAAGTCCCACTGGGCAGAGGCTTTTGGGGGGGGGGCCAGTGTTCCCCAGGGGTCAAGTGAGTGAGACTCTGGCCCCCAGGTGAACCTGGGGTGGGGGCACTGGACAGGAGCATCTGCTTCCCTGGGGGGACAGCGTGGCTGGGTAAGAGGTGGGAAGAGGAAGAGGAGGTAGAAGACAAGAACAAAGAGGGTACAAGGTTGAAAGAGGAGCAGGGGTTGGCGGTGCTGCTGGCGTCTTTGGGTGGCATAGCAAATGCCCCTCACTGAAAAGCCACCATGTGCTTAGCACCCTGCCACACGCCACACCCTGGAGGTAAGTGTCATTACACCCATTTTATAGGTGAAGTCAGTAAGACTCTAAGAGGTGCCCTCGGTCCTCAGGTAAATACGGAGAGACCCACCCAGTTTGAAGCCCAGGCCTGTCTAACTACACAACCCTGAGCCCCAGGCTTGCCAGGACTCTTCCTGGGTCTGTGAGGAGGGACGACAGTGCCTTCGAGGCAGGGTGGCTGGGAGAATGCCCTTCGGCACGTAATGCCACCCTCGCTGTAGAGCTTGTGCCTCCAGAGACAGAGGGCGTCGTGCCTGCGCCCATCCACACAGTGACTGCTGTGCTGGGTGCTTCCTGCAGTCGAGGGGTGCGCAGGCCCTGCTCCTGTGGAACAGGCATAAGTATGTAGTAAGCTAAAGGTGGAGAGTAGAGCCGAGTGAGGGACCTGGAGACGTCCGTGTCCTGATCCGTGGAACTGTGACCATGTTGCCTTATGTGGCAAGTGGGAATTAAGGCTGCAGATGGAATTCAAGTTGCCAGTGAGCTGGCTCTTGCACAGGGAGGTGGCCCTGAAGTCCCCGGGTAGGCTCAAAGTGATCACAAAGGCCTTTCGATGGGAATCTGGAGGCAGAAGGGTCAGTGTTAGAGAGAGGAGACTAGAGAGACTTCGCCCGGCCTTGCTGGCTTTGAGGAGGGAGGAGGGACCACAAGCCAGGCGTTGGAAGCCTGTAGAAGCTGGACAGGCAAGGAAATGGACTCTCCCCTGGAGCCTCCAGACCCCATGACTTCAGCTCAGTTTGACCCATTTCAGACGTCTGACCTGTAGAGCTGTAAGCTAATCAATCTGCTGTTGTTCTAGTGACTGAATTGGCGGTAACCTGTGACAGCAACCACAGGAAACTCACACAGGCCTGGAGGGCCACCGTAAGGACTTTGGCTGGCACTTGAGGGGCGAGGAGCCTTTGTACATTTTTAAGCAGTGGAGTGACATGACCTGAGGGACTCTTTCAAGACCACTCTGCATGCTGGGGGGATGGGCAGCAGCAGGGACACAGTGAGGTTTGGCAGAAGCCATGAGTGGTAGCCTGGAGCGGGCTGGGGCGGGGACGCTGGTGAGCAGAGGTCAGACTCGGCTGTGTCTTCAAGGCAGAGCAACAGGAGCCCCCGACGCCCGGCTGTGGGGTCCCTTACTTCCATAAGACTCTTCCTCTACTGAAAAATATACCGTTGTCACACACACACTCCAGTATTACATTCAAATACACCTATGTATGTTTTAACCCTGGCTGTATATTCATTTTTAAAACTACTTTGGTTGTTGTGGTTTGGCACAAATACATATAGTCCACTGATCGAAGTAAAAATTAAATCATAAAATTACTATCTGTTTTATTTTTCATTTTATTTCTGGACTAATACTGCCAATAACATTGTGAACCTCAAAACCTGAGTTCTATCTGTAAGGTTTTTTATTACTTCAATTCTAAGTCTCCAGTTACAAGCCGATATTCCTTTGTTTCCCGCCAGACGCCAGCGCGTAGCACAGAGGGCTCGCCGCCCTTGCAGAACTGCGAGCCCATCGAGAGCAAGCTCCGGCGGCAGATCCAGGGCTGCTGGCGAGAGCTGCTGAGGGAATGCAAAGAGAAGGACGTCAACAAGCAGGGGGAGATCACCTCGGCCGAGTTCCTGGGTTAGTTTTGGTTCTGTCCTCTTGGTAATACCTTGTCACACTCCTCGGCAAGAGCCCATTCCCACTGGGGACACATCCACAGCACGGTGGAGGCAGGGGAGCAATAAAAGAGGACCAGCTGGGACTTCTGGGTAGAGACGAGGGCTGCACAGAAACCTAACCCGCCTTCTGCCCACAGCCGGCAAGCAGGTGCACACCCGAGGGTCCAGATCCACATGCCACTGACGCCCACTGGGGCGTTAGAAACCACAGACGTGGTTGTGACTGCTGGGCTCAGTGTGAATGTTCATGGACGCTGACAGCAGAGGGGTGAGGGAGACTGAGGGGGTGGGTGGCAGGGACACTCGGGCTGGGCTTCCACTCCTGTCAGCATCCACTCTTTGCTCTCATTTAGTTTTTCACCAGCTTTACAAATTAAACCAGTTGGATTTGTACTTTAACTGTTGCATGTTGCTAATGCAACATTTTGCATTACAGGAAAATAATCTGACCATGTCATTCCTCTGCTGCTTAGCCTCCTCTTCCTGACTGATATTTTCCTTTTAAAGGAAAATGTTTTCCTTGAGAATATCCAAAATCAATATGAATTACTTTTATCATAACCATGGCTTTAAAATATACAAATGAAACAAGGTGTAAACTTTCTAAGTTAGCTCCTATTTAAAAAACACATAAATTAAATATGAAATTGGTAATAATCAAATGTTGTTACACTGATTTAATGTGACATGTTCTGCTAAAACCAAAACACCCTTGTTGGTTTTAATACGCACTTGAGTTCCACTTGTTTCTTAATTGGTTCTTTTGATTTTGAGCATGATAAACCTTAACTTCTGTTATTATCCTTATTTTTGCTGTTTTATTCTTAAAGCATGAACTCATTTAAGCCACCAGCCTATTATTCCAATGGGTTTGTCAGACTTGAGCAGTGTGTCCAAAATTCAGAACTGTAAAATGATTAATTTTCAAAAGTCATCCTGTATTTCCTACTCACCACGATGGCCTTCTGTAGGTGGGAACGTCAAAGGCACTCATGGGACAGTCTCCCTTGGGTTGCACGGGCCGCCCGCCGTGTCCTGGCGGGCCCTGTGAGCCGCTGCTGCCTCCCTCCAGGCAGGAGCAGAGAGAGCTCTGCTTGCTCGGCATGCAGCGGCCTGGCCTGCAGGCCTCGCTTATACAGTCTGCTCCCACTGGTTTTCCTGCCTAGCCTCAGCAGCTAACATAGTATTCCACTCCTTGACACTTTGTTCTTTCAAGATGACAACTCAAAGTCTCAGTTTAATAAACCTAAGCAAAAATCTTATCCTACCTAAGTCTCTTTCACATGTTAGTTGTCACTCCAAAAGAAGTGTTGTCTTTATAAACAGGCAGGAGAATTCCGCACAATTACTAGTGTAGAGCACAGGGCGAGTGTTAATATTCTGGTGTTAAGACGTGCCAACCTCATGGCAGCCGGGAAGATGCCCCACCGTGGCGTCCACATAACCCTAGTCAGAAAGCGAGTCTCGGACCCCAAGATTGCATGGCGGCTGTCTCTTAAAGGTGGTCTGGGTATCCAGAATTAATATATTTTTGATTGTCCTCATTGGAATAAAAACTCAAAACGTATAAATTCATGTAGCTAAACAGACTCCCAAGGGCATGTGTCTGGAGCCCAGTTAAAAAATGCATGGTGTAGGCCAAGTCTGAACCGCCCCCAGCCCAGCCCCCACCAGGCCCACACCTGGCTCGTGGACCCTTCCCCTGCTGCCGCCTGCTCCTGCCCTGCCCTCAAGTCCTCACCTCCCCCCCGCTCTGCAGTCATCACTCCCACAGTCTGTGTCCATCCACTGTGACCATCGTCCTGGTGACCACGCAAACCCACAAGGGTGTAGGCAGTAGGACTTGGGTCCTCCTCCCTGCGGCCCTTAATTTGTCGTGTATGTCCGTTTCCCCTACGTGTCCACCCACCCACTGTGAGTCCTATGAAAGGACTACGCCAGAGCCTAAAGCAGAGGAGGAGCTTCAGCAAGTGCTCAATGAATAGATGAATGAACAAATGAATTGCCACCAATTGAAATGCCATTTTTGTCCTTAGCTCTTGTGGAGAAATTCAACCTGGACATAAGCAAAGAGGAACGCCAGCAGCTCCTCATAAAGTACGACTTGAAGAACAAGGGGAAATTCGCATACTGCAACTTCATTCAGAGCTGCGTCCTCCTGTTAAAAGCAAAGGAAACCTCCCTGCTGCAGAGAATGAAAATCCAGAATGCAAACAAAATGGTACGAGGGCGTCCTGGGAGCGCGGGGGCGGGGCTCAAGGGGTGCACAAAGGTGGTGACTCGGGCTGAGAGACTCCGGAGCCCAGCCCAGCTCTGCCGCCAGCCAGGACTCGTCTGCCTGAGTCCCCACAGGCCCTACTCAGACGTTCCCTATCAGATCTGACGCTTGTCGAGTAAGGCTTTGTCGCCCCACCTCCTCCGTCACATAGAGGCCTGGACGGTGCCAGGCAGTTGTCAGGCCAGCTGGAGATAACTAGGAGCTGTCGGGGTCCCAAAGCCCACACCTGTGGGTCAGAGGCTCGCACCTGGGAGGCAGAGGCTGTGAGTAAGGATAAGGCCTCCACCAGGCTTTGGGAAGACAGCTCAGAAATTTACTTTCTTGGAAGTAACTCAGTCTTTCTCTTCTTCTGGAACCCTAGAAGGGTCTGGAGACCCCAGACAGAACCAGTACCCTGGACCCTGGGTTTTCCAACTGGTTCAGGTGGCAGACACCTGATTATCGTGGCTCTTCCAGAGTATCCCCATGACTAGCAGTCTAGCCCCTTGTCCACCCCCTGGGAGCAACGACCGGTCAGTTTCCTGAAAAGGCAGAGCAGGTGGGGCGGGCTGTAGCAAAGGGAGCATTTGGGTTAAAGGTGGACTCACTCGTCAGCCACTGGAGACAGGCCAGACCCTCCTCTGAGTGGGGGTGTCGGCTGGAGTCTCCCGTCATCTTTCTCATGTGAACTACACTAGATGTTGTAGATATATGGTCTGCAATTTTCTTTTTCTGTTTCTTCAAAGAGAAATGAGAACCTAAAGACACTTAAATAGCAACTGGAGGGCACGATTCTTGGGATTTTTATCTTTCATTCATAATCATTTGCACAGCGAGTGCAATCGCCGTGTTTTCACTGCACCTCGCTGCAGCCATTCTAAACTTGAGGCCAAAGATGTTAATGTTCTGATTCTGTCATCTGAGATATTGAATTAAGTTATGTTGAATTAAAGAAGTACAACTGGCATTATGGATTTGGGAAACAAACAGAGCTGAATCCAACTGTGGATGGATTTCTATGATTCAGCTGGAGGGACAAAAAGTGCAGGGCCGACCCCAGACGGCGCCCACCCTGCCTCATCCTGCCCCCGCCCTGCCCGCCCCCGCCCTGCCCGGGCAGCCGGTGAGTGGTGGAGGAAATGGAGAGAGTACATTGATCAGCAGCAGGTGAGCGGGGCCATGCAGAGCATGCACTGCTAGACTGCCCACTCTGTGCACACTTAGATACCCTGTAAGTTCTAGTTTAGACAAGCAGCAGCTAGTATCAAAGGCTTAGGCCAAGTTTATGGGGAATAAAAAAACCTTAAAATTAAGACACATCTTCTGCTAGCTCCATTCTTCTGAGAAAGGCTGTCCTCGTTAGATCTTCACGGGGCCCAGAACCACAGCTGGAGAAGCATGGAGACCACGTGGCCTGCAGGGCCCCTGCCTGCTCTAGCCTTCCCCCTGCTTCTCTGGGCCTCTGTTTCCCCTTCTGTAAATGGAAGGAAGGTCTGCTGGGCTGTAAGAGCCTCTGAGGGTTGGCGGGTGGGCTTCTCCTGGGAAGAGCACAGCAGTGCCCGCTTCTAGGCCCTTCCCGGAGCAGAGGCCGCGCCTGCCCCCAGGCGCACTGCCCAGCCTCAGTGTGACTGCAGGGCTGGCAGTGGGCTGCCCGGGCACCAGACTGAGGCCGTGTTTGTGTGAAGTGACAGGTGCTGCAGGTCCTCTGCCCCCACCCCAGGCGCCGCTCGGTGGTTTGGAATAGTTCCTCCTGCCCTTCCTCCTGGGATCCCCACGCCAGACTGACAAGGGTGGAGAGGCTGCACACTTGCCCAGGGAAGAATGGGCCCCTGCCATGGTCCTGGTCACGGTGCTCGCCCCCTCCCGCAGTTGCCAAGGCCTCCCTGCACCTCGTAACTGTGGTGCTCACGTCAAATGTCTCCTTGCAGTTCTTTGCTGGAAGGGTGGTTTCATTTTCTACTTACTTGGGAGCCTTCTCTGTAACCTTCGGCAGCTGAAAGACTTTCTTTGGGGAAGCAGCGTGGGCCCCGGCGCTGCCGTGCGGATCAGCTGCTCGGTGGATTGGCAGCTAGCAAAGCTGGCGGGGAGCCACCTGGGGAGCTTCCGTCATAGGTGCTAAATGATGTCAAATTGAAAGCAGCTTAGCTCTCTGCTAATTTGTTTTATGTAGTGCTGTGTTAAAATTAAACTTTCCCCAAATGTGTTACACGTTATTGCCTACAGTTCACCTCTGTGATGCTCAGACGTGTTGGGGCTAAATCATGCTAAAAGATCTTGTTTTCAATCTATTAATAATGGCACCTAAATGAAATAATCACAGTTTAGTGTTCTGTCTAATTAGTAGATATAATTACAACCTTGTGATTTTTTTTAACACTCTTCATTATAATAACCTACTAGAAGACCCAGAATGAAGTCTCTTTTATTCCTTGAACTATTTAGAAATTGGCTGAGTATCTGCCTGGCCTTCTCCTTGCGTTCCCCGGGAGGTGGCGAGGCCTGAGGTGTGTTGGGGTCAGAGCACAGATCCCTTTACTCTCTGCGCCTGTCCTCAGTCTGTGAGATGGGGTGGGAGACCTACCTGCCTGCTGCCACGTTGCCAGGGGAGGGCAAGGGGGATATAAATGGGATGGTGACTTTAAGCAGTCCACACACAATGATCAGAGGGACAGAGATGGCAGCATTGTTAAGAGTTCTAGGTCAGGTTTGGTGGCTCACATCCGTAATTCTAGCACTCTGGGAGACAGAGGCGGGAGGATCACTTGGGGTCAGGAGTTCAAGACCAGCCTGAACAAGAGACTCCATCTCTCCAAAAAAACAGAAAATTAGCCAGATGTGGTAGCACGCGCCTGTAGTCCCACCTACTTGGGAGGCTGAGGCAGAAAGGTCTCTTGAGCCCAGGAGTTTGAGTGTGCAGTGAGCGATGATGACACCACTGCATTCTACCTGGGGCAACAGAGCAAGACCCAGTCTCAAAAAACAGAAAGAGCTCCGCTCGCAGGCAGAGAGCCAGGGAGGGTGGGGTGCGGGGTGGGCAGGCCCCGCAGCTGCCTCTCTGCCCCCAGGGCCTGCCTCCATACCCCCATTCATAGTGCTTCTCTCTCACTCCTTCTTCGTTTTTGTTTTTTTTCTTTTTTTAGAAAGAAGCTGGTGCCGAGACTTCGTCCTTTTACTCTGCTTTGCTGCGCATTCAGCCCCAAATCGTGCACTGCTGGCGGCCAATGCGCCGCACGTTCAAAACCTACGATGAGGCTGGGACGGGCCTTTTAAGCGTGGCCGATTTCAGGAAGGTGAGCACAGCCCTGTGCGTCTGGTGCCGCTGAGCAGGGTACAGGTGCCAAATGCCAGTGGCCAGAAAAGGTCAAAAGGGGACCGGTCCAGTCCCCCGCCGAAGGCCCAGGGCTGCCCTGGCTGTCCCAGACCTCACTTCCCCAGGACCCCCAAGTTACCAAGGCTACGCCACTTGCCCCTCACCTGCAGACCCCAGCTTCTCCTCCCTGGAGGCCTCCAGAGCCCGGTGGGGCCGCTCCACACCTCCACGGCCAGTTCTCCTCAAGGCACCGCTGCTGCTCGGAGCCCTGGCTGGGCTGGGCCTGCCCCCGGCCTCATCGCAGACGCAGAGGAGTGAGACACTCCTGACCCAGGACACCTCCCAGAGAGCCTGAGCAGTGCGCCCCAGCCCCGCTGCTCACACTGGGCTCACCTTTGGGCACCGTCCCAGTGTCCCTGGGTGGCAAATACACAAGTCTCAGCCCCTCAGTGCCCCACCTGCCATGGCCCAGCAAACACCTGCAGCGGTTCCCCGGCTCACCTGTGCATTGTCGGTCTGTACTTCCGGGTCAAGTATAAAATCTCAGCCAGGGATTCTCATGCGAAGAAGGGAAGGAAGTGGGGGGAGATTCTGTTACTCTCCTCTTCCGTCAACTTGGTGGGAAGGAGACAGTAGAATGGTGACATTGTCCTGTCGGAAGGAGTACCTGGGCCCCTCACGGACAGCCTGGCTCGGGTTCCTTTCCTGCTTCCATCTCGCAGAGCCCCAGGAGCCCCCGGCCTTCTAGCCCCACTTCCTAGTCTCCTCTTAGAACTTAATTGTAACCAAAACGTAGCTAGGACATTTATGACCTAATCTTTCTTTATTACTAGGATCTATCAATTAGGGTCTATTTCAGCTGCATACGACAGGGGGCAATACAGCAGTGTAAGCAAGGGAGAGGTCATTTCTCCACCACGTAAAAAGTCCAGAGGTGGGTGGTCTGGAGCTGGTGTGGAGGCTGGACAATCACAGGGACCATATTTTTGCTCCACTCCCCTCATCTCTATCCTCCTTCCTCAGGATCACCTCATGGTCCAAGGTGGCTGCTGGAGGCCCAGCATTGTATCCGTATTCCAGGCAGGGAGAGAAAAAGGGTATGCCTTCAAAGGAGGCTTTCCCGAAGTTCCACGTAACATTCTCACTTAGGTTCCACTGGCCAGAACATACCTGGCATCGAGAGAGGCTGAGAAATGTTTTGTTAGCTGGATGCAGAGTAGCCTGTGGGAAAACCGGGGTTCTGTAAGTGCAGAGGAAGGGGCAGTCAATACCGGGTGGGCCGAGGGCAGCTCTGCCGCAGGCTGCGTCTCTGTGCCACCACAGCCACTCCACGCGCCTGCCCTCCTCGGCCCCGCCCAAGTTAAAGCCTGTGGCCAGGTCTCCCCTCCAACGCCTCCTCTCCGTCTGGCCTCGTCTGAACACGTTGACCAGCCTTCAGCCACCTTCTGTCTCGTCCTGCGTCACACCCAGATGCGCAGGGAGGTTGCCCTCGGCGGCTGCTTCCTGTGAGGGCAGAGGAGGAAGACAGAGACAGACGGAGAGAGAACACTACTGGGAGGGGACATTGTAGGTGGGATGTACAGGCTTAGGGACCTCGTGGTCCAAGGTGGCTGCCGGAGTCCCAGCATTGTATCTGTATTCCAGGCAGGGAGAGAAAAAGGGTATGCCTTCAAAGGAGGGACAGGTGGACATGTCCCCCAGACCCCTCTTGGCAGCCTGCCTCCTTAAATCCGGCTGGGACAAGCCCTGTGACCCTGTTCTCTGCCCTCCAGGTCCTGAGACAGTACAGCATCAACCTGTCTGAGGAGGAGTTCTTCCACATCCTGGAGTACTACGACAAGACGCTGTCCTCGAAAATCTCCTACAACGACTTCCTGCGGGCCTTCCTGCAGTAGCGCCCCAGGGGCACCCAGACACACAGACGGGGCCACGGGGCTTGATTCAGGGCGAATCAGATCAGATAACTGAGGAGTTTAATGAATATTCCAAAGTATCTCCAGGAACAAAACCCTAAGCCGAGCCTGGCCTGTGCCTGTCCTGGCGGGGCTTGGGCTGGGCTGTCCCCAGGCCTCAGGCGCCTTCCCCCATTAGTTCGCGCAATAAAATGGTCTTTGCAAGAATGACGCTTGAGACATTAAAAGAACTGCTAGTGACGCAACGCTCTACGACGTGGACTCTCTGGGGCGCGTTGGTGACCGCAGGCGGCGCGTCCCGGCGCGGGCACAGGCGCCGGCGCGCGATCTGAGGGCCGCCGCCTCCTTCACCGCCCGGCCGTGTCAGGGCCCGAGGACGTCTGTACCTCGCCGCGCTGCCCCTGGGCCGTGCGCACGGGCCTCCCCTGTCCCTGCTGAGGGACCCGCCAGCCTCGCCTCCCCGCAGAGCAACTCGCACATCAGGCCGTGCACTGCCCGGCCCAGCCTGCCCGAGGCCGCCCAGGCCCAGCGAGCAGGCAGCTCGGAAGCGCCAGTGACCGCCGTGACGGCAAGCCCAGAGGAGCCTGGAAACGGCTGTCCTTTCACCTGCTGTGACGCTGAGCGGGAGACACGGGCAGTTTGCTGCCTTCCAGGAGCTTCTCCAAGGACTGGGAGCTGCAGGCAGGAGAGCCGGCCGCACTGCGCAGCCACAGGCTGTAGGGAGGGGTGCGGCGTGAAGGCAAGGCAGCCCCTCCACTCCCACCTGGGCCCTTCCCCCTGCACGGGGCCCACACCAGCCCCACCCGACGCGAGCAGAGCGCTCCCTGTGCGCCGGGACTGCCTGCCGGTAGGGAGAGAGGCCCCAGCCCCCGTTCCACACGTGCTCCAGACTGGACCCCCAGACTGGGGCTGGGCTCATGGGAGGCTGCAGCGTCAGCTCTGAGCAAAGGGGGGACCCGCCCAGGGGTGCTCGCCGCCTGTGCCTCCGCCCGGCCAGGACTCCCCGCTCAGCCCCGACAGCCTCCGCGGTGCTTGGCTCTGCTCCGTCTAGCTGCAGGCGCCTCCTGATCCCCAAGTTGCGATTTGGTGGGGGCAGGGGGGGACCCTCTCTAGTTGTCTCATTTTTGCCTGTGACTGACCTAAATCAAGCTGTCTAGATTCATTGCAGTTGTGGAAATTTGCCGTTAACCAAATTGTATGAGCCTGAGGACTTTGCCAATGTGGTGCTTGAACAGCCACCCGTGAGCCTGGCAGGGCCACCACACTGGGTGTCCCTAAGGGAGCCCAACAACCAGCACCCACAGCGGCCCGGCCACAGCACATTCTCCTCCCCTTTCCTGTGGCCTCGCCACTGTGGCCGCTCCTCTCGCTGGCCCCACACCCATCAGGACACAGCACGACCCTTCCGCTGATGGAGGAAGGGGTGAAATGTCCTCCCCAGAGACCACGTGAGCTCTCAGGAAGCCAGGGCCGCTGTGCAGGCAGCTCAGTGGCCCAGGGTGAGGAGGTGGCTCCTGGCTGCCGGCTCCTCGGCCCAGCAGGGTGGGCATCAGGGACGAGGCTGAGGGGCTCTGGCCAGGCCAGGGCTGGGGACACCTCAAGATCCCAGTGACCGTGGGGGCCGGGGCAGGCCCAGGGCAGGACGGCCGCTGCAGGACATGGGGTGCTCAGGCAGCAGCTGCAGTTAGGAGTCCAGAGCTGGGTCCCCTGGCGCCGCCGCGCTTGGAGATCAAGCGGTCAGGTGCGCGAACACGAGAGGGCCCAGAGCCGTCTCGACATCACCTCCGAGACCCCTCGGCCGGGGAGCGTTGCAGGCAGAGGTGCCCCCGGCTTCTGCACTCCACCCCGCCCCGCACTCAGACACCGCCCTCCCCACACGCCCCACCGACCCCCCGAGACGCGCAAGGAAGAGGCGCCCGTGGACTTCTCCTTCTTTTTACAAAGACTTTATTGTCTGACATGCTTGACAAAAAAAATTACAGCCACAATCAAGTTATGCCAAAATGATTGAGGAGCACGCCGTCACCGTTCACACCTCACGACTTCTCATGGATTTGCTCTTAAAGTAACAGCTGCCTTCATAACTTCTCTTTCCCACATAAAAATACACCATATTCTGAAGATACCTTAGGAAAAAAGATTTGTTTAAAGTTTATAGTTCTTGGTCCACACAGAAACTGAGTAGAGGTGGCACAGAAGGGGCCTTGTGTTCTCTCTGCCCCAAGAGGCTCCCCAACGTCCCTGCCACCAGGTGCCACTTTGGCCTCTGCACCCTGGGAGCCCAGCCCCTGCCAACCCGACACGGTGCCCTGCCAGCCCTGGGACAGCAGCCTCCCCCACACTGAGCCCAGCTCGCCCACGAGCCTCGGGGGAAGCACAGCCTCCCTGGGTGCTGGGGCACTGCACACACTCAGGAGTGCTCAGAGCTCCAGCCGGTTTGAACAGGACCCTTAAAAAAAGAGAGCCTTGGACCATGCATTGCTTTGCAGGAACATAGCTTTGGGTCATGGCAAAGTGAGGGCTGTGAAGCCAGGGACCGAGGTTCAAATCCCACCTCTGCCCCTTGTGTGCTGTACGGCCCCAGGCAAGTCACCTCGCCTCATCTCTAAAATGGGGACAGCAGTACCTACCTTGAAGGACCATCTGAGGATGAAACAACATTAAATCTGCAAAAGGGCTCATCAAAGGCTGGCTCCCAGGGCTGGGACCAGAGGGGAGAGTGAGGCCCTGCTCTCAGGTGCACACTTTAACCGGGGTGCAAAACTTCAGTAATAAGAAAAAAAACAATGGTAAGGGGGTAAAAAACAAAAATTTTCCAAAAAACCAACCAAACTTTTAAAAAATCAAAATTAATGCAAAAAAAATGCATGATGAACAAAATATCAAAATTTTAAATAAAGACAGAATGTGACCCTGCACTTGCCCGACCCTGCCTCAAGGCCACCCCAGTCCCAGCCCCCCTGGCCCCTCCCCTGCCTCACCCCCAGTCCTCAGCCACAGAGGAAGAAGCAGCTGTCCAAGGTGGGGCCGCCGGCACCAGGGCCTGCTCTCTCTCGGAGCCACCCTGCCCCGGTGACGGGCCGCCGGGACCAGGGCAATGAGGGTGTTGAGCCCTTTAGGGTCCCCAGCTGCGGGCATGCAGATGGAATCCCAATGGCGCAAGGAAACCGCACCAAGGAACACAACCCACCGCAGGGCAGTGACGAGAAACACGGGCCCACTGGGGTGGATTGAGAGGAGAGGGCGCGCACTCACGTGTGCGTGTGTGTGCACACACATGAGACAGAGCGGCACAGCCTCGGCCCACAGACCCTCCAGGCTGCTGAGTTCCGCAGAACAGCGCAGTCCCCAGGGACCCAGGGCTGTCCCCCCGTGACCGGGAGCCTCTCGCTGGCCCTGGGCACACAGAGGGCTCATTCTGCAGCTCTAATCGCCCAAATCCAGGCTGCCAGCAAGTGCCCAGAATGCTCAGGCCATCGTCCACGTCAGTGAAAATGCCCACAGGAAGAAACAGGGAACAACGCCAGGCAAACGCTTGTGGGCCCGGCCAGGGACAGTCTGAATTCCTGAGATGTCCCCAAACACCCCCTTGGAGGGCTCCACCTCCAGCAGGCCTGTCTCCTCTCTGGCCTGGGAGGACAGGAAGGGCTGGCTGCACCCAGGCTGCAAAACCTCCCCACCGCCCCCCAACCCCGGGGCCTGCAGCCACGCAGACCCTTGGGCAGAGGGACACTTTGTGCGAGAACTTCCGAAACCCACTCGAGAGCAGCAGCATCACAGACCAGGAGGGGGTCCAGCTGAGAAGGACGAAGATTCAGTCATTTCCAAAGCAAGACAGGGCCACGAGATTATCAGGTCCTTTAACGAGGTACACGCGGGATGTACACACAGAAAAAGTAATAAGCACAGAACCCCTGGTGGGGACACGCAGGGTCCCGACTCCAGGTGACAGAAGGCTGAAGGGTCATTCCAAGGCCTCAATGAGTCTGCTGGGCTATCCCTGCAGCCAGACGGATCGTCTGGGTCATTCGGCATGGAAGGAAGGGTGGCTGGGGGTCCGTGCTCTCGGCCAGGCATGTGTAGCTGACACGGGCGGGCAGGGCTGCAGCAGCGGGGGGCAGTCAGGAGTTCCGGGGTGTGGGGAGGTCGATGACTATAGGCGGATTCACAGGCTGGTAGTTCACAGTGCACACGGACGCGTTCACATAGGTGGTGGTCCCATCTGCCATGACACCGTACCCTGGAACAAAAGCACACACCTGTCAGGCCGGGACCCCGAGCAGTGAGGGTCTGGTGGGCGTGGTGGGCAGAAGGCGCTCAGCCACGTGGGCTGGGTGTGTCTGAGGCAAGCTACTGAAACTCTCCAGGTCCGTCTCTGCGTCCGTAAAATGGAGGTGATGATGATAGATGCTACTTCCAAGCTGCTGTGAGGGTTAAATGAGAAAATCATCCACGTGCAGTGCTCAGCCCAGTGCCTGGCACACGAGCAGCACACAGTGAGTCCCAGCATCATCACTGTCATCTTCACCAACACCATCACCACCACCATCATCACCATCACCATCAACTTCATCATCACCATCACCACCACCATCACCATCAACTTCATCACCACCATCACCATCACCACCATCACCATCACCACCACCATCACCATCAACTTCATCACCACCATCACCACCATCACCATCACCACCACCATCACCTTCATCATCACCATCACCACCACCATCACCATCATCTCCATCAACTTCATCATCACCATCACCACCATCACCATCATCACCATCACCACCACCATCACCATCAACTTCATCATCACCATCACCACCATCACCATCATCACCATCACCACCACCATCACCATCAACTTCATCACCATCACCACCATCACCATCACCTTCATCATCACCATCACCACCACCATCACCATCATCACCATCACCCCCACCATCACCATCACCCCCACCATCACCATCACCCCCCACCATCACCATTGTTGGTGCTCAGAAAACAGTAACCCAAAGCCAAGTCCTCAGAAGCAGCCTCAGAAGCAAAAGTTTTTCTCTGACCGTCTCCTGTCCTCCTGCCTCTCAGTCCCATTCTTCCCCGAGACTAGTCACAGAAACTAGAATCTCTCTTCTCCAAGGCAGGTCATTGAAATCAGAACCCTTTTTCCTGAAAGCCAGCCACAAAACCTAAAATTATTCTATGTAAAAACTGGCCATAAAGAAATGATCTGACCCATGTGTTTGACTGTAGGCTATAAGACCCCCTTTCCAGAGAGGGTCCTGCCCCACACCCAGAAGGAAGATGCTGCACAGAGAAGAATACGGATAGACAGGCCTTGCTGGGCTCCCTCATACTTTTTGGTCCAATGATATTTCTACATGGCTGTCCATACTTTGTTGAGCCTAAGCATAAAATTGGACGATTTCCCCCGTATCTTTGTGTTTTCAATCTGAAGGCTCCATGTATACAGCTTAAATAAAGTGTTATGCCTTTTCTCCTAGTAATCAATCTTCCTCATGTCAGCGATCTCTCATGGAAACTTTAGGGAGCCATGGCCTTGGTGCTTACTCCATCATCACCATCATCATCACCATCATCACCATCATTGCCATCATCATCACCACCACCACCATCATCATCAAATCAGCATCACTGACATCATCACTATCATCATTGACATCACCACGATCATCACCATCACCACCATCACCACCATCATCATCACCATCACCATCATCGACATCATCATCGACATCATCACTATCATCACTGACATCACCACCATCACCACCATCACCACCATCACCATCATCACCACCATCACCATCATCACCACCATCACCACCATTACCACCATCACCATCATCACCACCATCATCATCATCACCACCATCATCATCACCACCATCACCACCATCATCATCACCACCATCATCCCCACCACCACCATCATCATCATCACCACCATCATCCCCACCACCACCATCATCATCATCACCATCACCACCATCATCATCACCACCATCACCACCATCATCATCACCACCATCATCCCCACCACCACCATCATCATCATCACCATCACCACCATCATCATCACCATCATCACCACCATCATCACCACCATCATCACCAACACCACCACCATCATCGACATCATTATCATTGACATCATCACTATCATCACTGACATCACCACCATCACCACCATCAGCATCATTACCATCATCACCACCATCATCACCACCACCATCATCATCGCCATCATCACCATCATCATCATCGCCATCATCACCATCATCACCACCATCATCATCACCATCATTACCACCATCATCCCACCACCACCATCATCACCATCACCACCATCATCATCATCACCATCATCACCACCATCACCACCATCATCATCATCACCATCATCACCACCATCATCCCCACCACCACCATCATCGTCATCACCATCATCACTGCCATCATCATCACCATCACCACCATCACCATCATTGACATCACTAAGATCACCACCATCACCATTATTACCACCATCGTCATTGACATCATCACTGTCATGATATCATCACTATCATCATCACCTCCATCAATACCACTGTCATCATCACCCTCATTATCCTAACACCATCATCATCACCATCCTTATCATCATCATCAGTATATCATCATCATCACTGACATCATCACCACATCACTCACTGTCATCACTACAATGACTGTCACCTTTGTCATCACCACCATCACCACATCACTCACTGTCATCACTACAATGACTGTCACCTTTGTCATCATCACCACCATCACCACCACATCACTCACTGTCATCACTACCGTGACCGTCACCTTTGTCATCACCAGCATTATCATCGTTGTCATGTACATTCCTCTCTGCCTCCTTCACACCCTCTTCCCGCCACCTCTACTTGTCAGGACCCTCCTCATCCTTCAGCCCAGGTCACACCTGTGCTCAGGTATGATGTGGGTCACAGGTGGCCTTGGCTGTGAGGAGCTGTGCGCCCACAGTAGGGCCGCAGGAATGACAGCCATCATCATCATCCCCAGCACACGAGCCGTCCACCCGTCCCGTGGCCACCGAGGCTCTGCCTGCACTGACTCATCTGCTGCGGCGCCCGCTCGCTCCTGCCCTCCGCGTGGGCTGCGGGCCCTCAGGGAATTGCTTGGGGCCTGTTTGCTTTTGAGCTGCAAAATGACACCACGTGGACTGGGAACAGGTGGAGGCCCTGGGGCCCTGGTCCAACCACAGACTTGAGGGGGCCGGGCGATGGCTGGGGGAAACTGCACTGCTATGCCCCACGGCAGGGGTGTGGCAGGGAGGCCTTGCCTACGTGGCGCGGGCAGGGCGGCGGCTTGCGCGTCAGCCCGGCCTGTCCAGAGGAGCCCCCGACAGGCTCTGCTCTGGGTCCAGCTTGCTGGGGCTCTGGGGACACGTCTCCCCATTGTCCCCCATTTCCTGGGCGCCTGCTGTGGGCCGGGGCTTGACTTGTTACCCCCGGGCTCCTTGCAGCCACAGGGACCAGGAGCGTGGGCCATTGCACACGCGGTGCGCCGGCGCCCAGGCCTGGGGCCAAGAGCGCGTGTCTCTCTGAGGCTGCAGATGCTGCCACCTGGGGTGTGAGGCTGGGGGCCAGGCCTCCCGGGCCCTGTCATTGCCCCGTTGTCTCCCCGCACAGGCTTCCTGGACTGGGTCCCCAAGAAGATGCAGCGGGTGGGCTGCGTGGAGCTGCTCAACACGGTCCAGAGGCGCGTCCAGCCGCGGCTGCACGTCTTCGGCCACATCCACGAAGGTCAGCGGGGGTGGGGGAGCGGGCCTGACACCGGGGGCTCCTGCCTGACCCCTCAGAGGGCCACGTCCCCTCCCTTCGGCCCTGGTCACCTCCTCCCTGATCTCCTTGGCCAGAAGGGAAATTGCCCAGTTACGTTGTTCCCTTGTGAGTGCCACGTCCATCCCTGGCTGTCAGTCAGCCATGCTGAAGTGTCCGGTAACAGGAAGACACATGCAAGGACTTGCGAGACTTGAGGGTCCATTTGGCTTCCTTGGAGCCCTGCAGTTCTGCTGAGCCTCTCGTCTGCGCGGTCTTCCAGATGGGCAGGGGTTTTCAGAGGAGGGGACATTTGGAGGATGCATTATATTGTATTGGTGGGCACACTGAGAATTCCTCAAGGCCGATGGCCCTGTCTTGTGGCTTACATCCTCAGGGCCTGCATACAATAGGTGTTTAATAAATGTGGAGGGACTGCCTGCCTGTGAAGAGCTCTAGTCACGCCACCCCCGTGTATAGAACCCTCCCCCCAACACACTAAAA